ATAAAACTTAAAATCATAGTTATGAATAAAAAAATTAGATAAAATTAGATAAAATTAACATTATTAAAACTTAAAAATAATGATAAAAACTAAAATTAGAATACTGATAAGATAATAATTTATATCCTCTATTAATTAATTACTAAGAAAAAAGAATTATTAGGAATTTTAAGAAACAAAATAAAATATAGTAAAAATAATCAACAGTAGAAATTAATTACTTACCTTTGAGAATAAAGTGACTTAATAATAGATCTAATGAATTATAAGCAAAAAAAAAAAAAATTGATAGGAACTTTTAACAACAAATAAAATTTAGTGGAAATAATAAAGAGTATAAACTGGCCCAAAAATAAAACAAGGGAACAAATTAGGTATCATTCCAAACACTATTGATTTGTTAATAGATTCTATGAATTACAAATATTTAGTTAATAATAATAGTGATACAGAACTTTGTTAGGAATTTTAGTTGAGAAACAAAAAAAAAAAAAAAAACAATCAAGAGGAAAATTTTTTTTTTTTTACAATGAGCAGTGCACTAATTAATTTAGAAGCCCTAAATCTACATACTCCAATTTCTAAGATACTCATGTACCAAATCAAGTGTCTCCCTAAATACATGAAAACTCCTTCGTAAATGATATAATCCCAAAGCCATGTTATATGAACAATAGTTCACTTCTCTAAAGATGTGATACACCTCACATTGCCATTCTCATTACATAAAACCCTTGCGTTTGCATATTTAATTGGTAAGCGTACTTCTTATTTCCTTTTATTTTTATCAATATTGCCTTAAAAGGAAATCGATGGACTATATATAGTAGGAAGAGAATTTCAAGAGACAAGCAATAATATTAGAAAATTAATAATAATAATGAGAATATTTTATGAGAGGATGATTTAAATATATTCATTATTTAGTGAACTTTTCATGAAAGGAAAAATCCAAATGTATGTCTTTTTCTTTTCTTTTGGTTTAATATATAGGTAATGGAAAATAATAGTGAATATATCAATTTAATATACATCAAATAATTTTAGAAATTATTTTGCCACTTATTTATGCATTAATTAGGGATATATAGCAAGCTTGACCAACTCATTATTTTATGATGTTTCTAAACTATGGTTAATGCATACCCTATTTAATGCATAGCGTAATATTATATATATAATCTATTAAATAATAAATATTAATTATTTTATCAATTAATAATTATAATTATCAATCATTTTTAATTGTGAAATAAAATTTTGTGTGCCCTTACCAAAGGTTCATGGGATAATAGCGGTTGAACAAAACCTTATATTAAGCAACTTATTTTAAATTTTTTTATTAAACTTTTACATTTTTATTAAAGTAAGTAAGTCTATGAACTTGATAATTAGAGTAATTTAATCCTTTTTGTTTTCTTTATAGCAAATAAAATGTTCATTTATACTTCACATGAGCAAGATATTGACATGCCATTTTTACGTAACAGGTATTAATTTCATATATGTATTAATTTTATATATGCAAGTAAAGTATAAATATATATTAAATTTATTGTAAAAACTGTTAAATTACTTAAATTATTTAACTCAAAAAACTTTTTTATTCTAATAAAAATCTAAAATAAATTTAAGAGTTTAATATAAGATTTTACCTACCATTCCGTCTAAGCACAATTGAACGTTTTAGGCTTTGTTCAATGGTGCTCTAAAATTTTTTAAGTATATCCCCAGTAAACTCTCTCTCTTAAAAATTAACTTTAACTTAATTCATATTAAAAGTGCACTTCTATATTAATTTTTATATATTAAAAATTATTTTTCTTAAACAATGACGAAACGCGTAAACCCAAACTTTGTTTACAAAACACACTACCTTGAATCCAACTTAGGGTTAAAATATTATTTTTTCTAGAAAAAAAAAATAAAAAAGGGGGTTTTCTCCTTGTGCATTTAAACGGGACCAAAGAATGGTGCGATTCATAATGGTGAAATAATACACATTTACCTACGCAGCATACCTTCCATTACCGCTTGACCTAAAGCTGACCGTATTTAAACTCTATGCGCGTGAAATTTCAGCGCGTATACGGCAACTTC